ACTCTTTCCTGCCTATGCAGGGGGTCGGACTCGATGATCTATTGAGGTCCCTTCCGACCCTAGCATCTATGAATCTGCAAGGTCCCTTCCAACCCTATAACTATGAATCTATGAATCTCCTTTGCCTGCACCACTCACACAGGATGTAAGGCCTGTGGCAGAAATGCCACCGTCTGTGTCTGTCTCCAGAAATCAGTCAGCTTGGGACACTGGGGTCTAATTTCTGAAGGAGGGGGGATTTTCCTCCCTGCCTATGTGACAAAAGCCTGGTGCTGAGGGTGTGGTCCCTCTGCTCACTGGACTGGGCTGCTGAGGTCAGAAAGGCTATATAAGGGCCTGGTCCAAGGAGAAGGGGGAGAGAAGGCATTTTACCAGAATGGCCCAAACACCAGGACACAGAGAGAGTCTGATCCACCTGAAACGCTCTCTCTCTGGAAATCTCCAAGCCAGATCTCTGCCATCTTCTGGATGATACTCGTAAGTGTTTCTAGAGAGTTAGTCAGCTCCCAGTGATGTATTTGCGTATCAAACGGCTACCTCAGCCACACTGTTTTGCTCAACGGTAATCCTTCAATAGTGCTCTACCTCTTACGCTATTCTAACCCTACCCTCTGTAACCAATACAGTTCTCCTTTTTCACTGGCGTAGGAGACTTATTGAGGGGTGGGTTTAATTATGCCTAGGAGACCCCTTGGGTCTGCAGACTAAGGGAGACTATCCTTTTTGGTCCCTGACTTGGGGAAGTGCCCCAAGTTCTTGAATTGGGTCGAGTACCTGTAGGACTATTAGGCCTTTGTTTTCCTGAGGACACAGGAGCCAGACGGTCCCTTCTCGTGGTGGTGGCAGCACACATTACCACTGAACTCTGTGGTGGGGCTCAAAAGGGGTGTCTGCCAGGGTTTAGGCGCCCCTGAAGAGACACATGGAGTCCAGAAGGTGGACGGGCATGGTGGGGTGGGAAGCTTAACACAGGAGCTCCCCCTACTGGCCTGCCACAAGGCCATAATCTTTGCAATCAACAACCAGGACAGCAGACCAGCCTGACCACCCACCAGTGGGAGGGCAGGGCCAGAAAAATTCTGCCCACCTCCCAGGAAGCCAGGCCACTGGGCAGCTGAGAGGGCAAGAGCCATGGGCTGGAAGGAGAGCGGGCAGGAGACGGGCTGATGTCAGCCCAGTGAGGGACTCTCAGGGAAGAAGGGGCTGAGCCCCGGACTCTGCCTCCCACCCTCAGGCACAAGCCAGGCCCAGAGTCCAGGCCCCAGGGACCCAAGAGATGAGTCCCCTGCTCCCATCTGCTCCCCTTACTCTGCCACTCCCAAGCTGCCCTGTGCCTTCCTCCATGGACACCCCCAGCCCCTCCACCAGCTCCCGGTCCAGATACCTAACTGTCCTTGGCCCCAGTGTTACCCGGAGAGGGAGCCTGGATCCTGGATGTGGGGCACAAACCAGGGCACCCCCAAACCACAGCAGAGGCTGAGATGTCAGTGAAGATGCCCAGGGCTTGTGCGTGGAGAAAGGTGGGTGAGAGGGAAGCCCAGGTGCAGCAAGGGCCAAGATGCAGGACCCCAGACCCCTGGGAGCCCCATGACTCGGGTCTCAAACTCACCCACACAATAGACAGTCTCACTCCAGGTCCCCAACTTTGTGCAGGTGCTCTGGGGCACTGAGGGCCAATAGCCCTCCTTGCAGCTCCACATCACCACATCGCCTGGGTTGTAGGATGACTGTTTTGGCGTGAACTCAGCCCCTCTGTTCCAGGTGTCTGGTTCCTGGCACTTTCCTGCAGCAGGAACATGGGGACGGTGTCACTGGGAAATGGCTCCAGCACCGCTGGACCCTGCATGCCATTCTCATCAGATGCTACAGATCCAGATGAGACCTGGTTTCACGCAGACATCCTGCCTCTGGCTGCTGAATAGGAAGGCCCTTTGTCACCCTCCCTGCAATTCAGTGCCTCACGCATGTGATTCCCTGGGGGTACCCTGTGCGCTTCTCAATGTACGCACCCCCACGCTCCAGGAGATGTGCATGATACTGCCCCTCCGGACACCGCCCGCACACCCCCATTTCCAAGCTGAGAGTCCCTGGGATTCTGGATGGACAACCATCCCCAAGACAGGGGTTGAGGGCTCACCCAAAACATGGGGGCAAGACTCCACCCTGGCCCCAAGGCAGCACAGTGTCAGCGAGTGCCAAGCTGCCCGACCAGGCCCTGAGACCACGGGGTTTGAGGGAACCACACTTACTCTGGCAGGTGGCCGCCTCGCTCCACACACTGTGGCTCCCATTCCAGAGGCATCGGATCATGGGCTGCGAGGGCTCATGATCCTTTGGGCAGCTCAGAGTCACCAGCTCCTCCCTGGCATAGTACAGCTTGTCTGGGGCAAAGCGCAGATATGGGTCTCCGGTGGGTTTCTGGCACTTTTCTGTTAGGAGAAACCCTGGTTTTGAGGCATTGGTGAAGAACAAACCACAGGCCCCAAGGCCAGGCCCTGCACATAGACACGTAGAGGGGCCCCCCACATAGGTGTGTAGCAGTACATATACACCCACACCCCACCCCCGCACCATCCCCCAGCGCACACCAGCTCACACTGCCACCCAGCCTAGAGTAACCAGCATGTACTCCTGAGCTCCACACACCATCAGTGCACACCCACACCACACACAGGCCTTTCAAAGGGGGATGATGATGATGATGTTCCCTGTGTGTGCTGTTATATATGCCCAACTCTTGGCTCAATGGCCCCGGCACCATTGGTGCAACATCCCAGGTGTGCATAGGCCAAGCGGGGTCACTCCACAAGCCCTCAGCAGAGATGAACGTTTGCCCCACTGACCCCTTTGCAAGGCACAAGCGTACAGAGACAGTGGGAAAATTGGTTGGAAAACAATATGATTGAGAGGGGTGTGATGAGCAGCAGGACAGTTGTCAAGGCAACTATGATCACCCCATACTGCTGAACAAGTTAAGAGGCTGTGACTTGGATGACTACACAGTCC